AGCCGTGCTTTTCAGTCGTAACTCCTTTCCTACTGGATCTAATTTTGCGAAATTTCTATATGTGGAGCGTGGGTGTACTGTGGATATTTACCACTATTAACTTGCAATCTGATCGTGTTCCAGATATTCCAAAGAGCATGAATTCAAAATCGACTGAAAATACAGATGATGGCCCTTCTGAAATCTCTTTTCTTTTTGTCATGTTTAAAGTGTACAAGTGGTAATGCCGAACACAGGAGAGAAGAAAAACGCACATAAGGTGCGAATAAGTGCAGACGTCAACACTTCAGTTTCAGCAAAATCTGCTACCGCTAGAAACACCTTGCTCTATCTGTGAATATTACAGCTTCGCAGTCAAATAGTGTCGGGTAGGGTGAAATATGCTCTTGTTAAACATATCCAAATTCGCCGCGATTTGGTCGACTAACAAAAAAGTTAGGAAAGAAAAAGCACCAAAGCATTTCACCGAAGACTTTTGAGCGCTACTGTATGTATGTGGGTGCTAAATCAACCATTGCAATCGTCTTCAAATCGAATTCATTGCGCAAAAGAGTAGAGTTCATCATGTGCGATTTGAGGTTCGACGATGAATCGTGGTGTTTCTTTGGACAACCAGCAACTTTGAAGAGACTGCAGTCTGTGGAGGACTATGAGGTTGCCTCAAAAATGCGTGGCCTGGTTCTCTAGTCTGGAGAGACAAGGGAAGATGAGTTTCGTTTTTCGAAAATAACAACATTGAAGTTAAGTGATTGTTCCAAATCTCAGTATGTTCAGAGGGAACCTCAGCAAATATAGCCTCTTTCGTTCCAGCTCAGAGCAGACGTTAAGCATAAAAGAAGAATTAGAAAGATAAGGCTACAGAAAAGATCACATCTCAGGTTCGTACGTGGGATTCGAATGGTATGAAATCTGGAAAAAAGTGAAAGGTAAGGTAGAAGTAGTGACTCGGCGGATCAAATGGAGAAAAGAAAGAGGTTCAGATAAGATAAATCATCTTGTCACTCCTCAACCTAAACGAGCACCGCTTTCTCTGCTCATGGACAAGAAAATGAGCATTAGACCGTTCACAAGGACTCGGCCTGAAAAGTGCAATGGAATTAGGAAACATGGTCGGTTAGGGCTTTCTGTGACATATCCATTGTCAGGAACCAGAACAAGAAACCTAAGGCTAGACTAATGCATCATTTGCAATATCTACATGCATTTTTGAGAAATGCGAGAAAACCCATTGTCAGAAGAGGCCAAGGTTACAGAATTACCAATGAATTCTTGATGATGGTGTAAAACCGCAACACTAAATTCGATGGATTAAATATTGTCGACGATTTGGATTAGTTATTCCATTTATTCTTTTGAAACATCAACACATCAACATCGTTTGAAAGGTCAACACAACGTTCCATCATCACAACTGAAGTACGGTATTCCATGGTTCCATGGTTGAGTACAAGGGGAAGTGGGGGGAGTGGGCGGGGGGGGNGGTGTTCATGATGAAACAGAAACTAAAATAGAGTCAAGAATCTGTTCAGCAGTATGAGATCACAGATAAAAAAAGCAAAGGGAGTACAGTCCGCCGTTCTTCACATGACTATGGGAAACCACAGGACAGTAGGATAAGTTTTATAAGTCTTTTGGCGTTAATCAATCCCGTCCAAGGGATGCGCCCCGGCATTCGATTTCCATTCAGATCGTAGTGGCGCAATGAGGCGTATGTGGCCTATGCAATGACTTGTGGTGTCCACCTGATGTTCAAGTCAATACTTTTATCCTCCCAGACGAGTCAGGTGCCTACTTGCCGATCCCGGACGGATTGAAGTCCTTGTTGGCCTAGCCGTATATCGATCCTAGATCCGTACCAAGGACCATACGTTAGAGATAGTGCGCCTCCTGCCACTACACCTATGCTCAGGACAGCAGGAGAGCGAGGCAAAGTGAGGTCTAAGGATCTAGAAGCCTTTCAATTTTCATGGGAAAAAGGCTGCGATGAAGCAATATTCCTTAATGAAAGAAAATAGGAAAAGATTTTAAAATAAATAAGCAATTTTACAGGCAGGAGAAAAAAGGAGCTAGGTGACGGCACGCAAGAGCGTTTAAAATATGTTAAAGCCTCTATCAGAGGAAAACCCTGTGAAAACTTTCAGAACTTCCAACCATTTGTATGCTAATATCAACTTTATCATGAGCGATTCAATCTACACACAACCCACTGAGTGAAAAGATCTGTCCAGAAGCCTGAAGCAGCACACGAAAGTTGTCAAAGGCTTCATGAATCAAAAGTACAAGGTTTGGCCTAGGTTATAGCTCGACTCCTTCACACCTGTTTCCGAAAGTGGTACTATTCCAACAAGAAAATGAAATTTCAAAAGGAAGACATCGACGTCAGTTCTCGGGAGAAAAATGTTAAAGACATTTCATTGACTGCAACTGAGGAATATCATGTATTGTTCCGCGAATTCAGAAAATCATGAATACGCGTACAGCAATAGAGGCAATATACGCTTCCCTCTCTTCCTGCCACCCTGTTTGCCCATACCAGCAATAAGGGCGATATCCGCTTTTAATCCCTTCCCTCCTACCACCCTGTCTCTTCAAACTCTTTTCAATCAGCACTGGGGAAACAAGTCATTCATCTGACAGATATATGACTAGTTTTTCAGCCAAAGCTGGCTGAGCGATTACAAATGCGGTGGTTTCACTGGAAGCTCTGGACTAGTCAGAATTGGCCCGTCACCTAGCAGATGGTTTTAGAGTGCAAGCTGTGACAAGTAGGGTGTGTTGATGGAGTGCTCTGCTGGAGTGTCCATAGCTCTGTTAAAACTGAAAACGAATATCAGAAGGGTGGGAATTCATTAGAAAGGAAAAAAAGGGTGGTTGCCAAGTAGGAGGTGATCTTATTGCAGGCGAAATATCACAGAATTAGACTGAAAAAGTTTACATGTACAGGATCTAACAAAATAGATTTACATTAATAAAAGAGGTAATTCACGTTTGAAAGCCTTCATTCGAGAGCAGGGTATGACCCAACCCGAATCATATCTCTAAGGCGCCCTTCAGGGGCTTCTTCGACGAAGACACAAGGAAGCATGCTTTGAATAAAAAGAAGCGGATTTGGATTGACCCCCTGTGATCAGAGGAAAAAATCAATTAAAAATAGAAATACAAACGAATTATCAGGAGCAAACTGCGATTAGATTACACTACCGTAAACTCTTCTAGGAAATCCTATGATAACTTCAATTGAGATCGAAATTTCATGGCATAAAAGGAAACAGAACAGACATGGACAAGCAACTTTGGCCGCCAGTGTGAATCGAGCAAAAAATGTTGACAAATGGAAAACCATACATCATCCAAAAATTCATCAACTGCTGAAAAATGGAGGGCCGAAAACAGCGGGCTTGGGTGCAGAATAATTTTTCGTCAGGCTGTTAATCCCATTGTCAAGTCATGAATTGGGAAGAGAAATGGTCCTTGATAGACTCATTACCTTAAACGATGATTGGTTTCCCCCCAGAAGAAATTTGAGGACAACCTGACATGTGTGCACGCGGATAGGGAACAAATCTCTGAGGACCACCCAGAGTGGGAGCGTCAGAGGGGGTGGAGAGATCTCATCAGCAGAATAGCACAGCCATTTTCGCTAGACATGCCAACAAACTGCCCTCACCAACCTTTGACCTCTCGTTGTCGTCTACGATTGCATTTGGAT